CACTCCTCCATACGTCTGCATGGCGTGCTACTTATGGTATATATGTGCTGTTACTCTGTTAAAATATCTTCGAACTGAGAATCGAACCCGAGACGCTTCTGAATGCGAGGGAATAGTAACATCTGCAATGTGTCCTTCGATGCTTGATGGTTTAGACTTGGCTTCAAACATTGTAAATTCGCCTTAATCCAGGAACTAATTACAATGCAAATGGATGACAACTTTCGTTTGGCAGGAATCTCACTCAAGTGAAGCAGTCATCTGGTAGGTGGTCTCTGCAATGTGATGGGCGGAGTTGGGGCATTACAATCACATTCTCCACACAAACACTGCAGCTGTTGAAGTTGGTTAACCGCCAAACCACGCAATGATGAATAATCCTACTACTTCTTTCTGTGCGCATATTTGAAGGGTCTGGAAAACAAAATAACTAAACAAATTAGCTATAAGCTAAGATGTTTTACAAGGCAGTAATTAGAGGTCATAGAAGTGGTTACGTGTGGTTTCGGGACATAATCTGATGGTGATTTAATGGTGATAGTCCTGCAACAGGTTATTATTCCTCAGTATAATTACAATACTTATATTGTTTTTAAAAACTGTTGATATTTAATAGCATCAAGCCTTAAAGTATGTCCTTGAAACATTCTTGTCTGGAGAGGAGTTTTTCTTTACAAGCTACTAGTCACATAGCTGATCAGGAAATATCCCGCTTAATATGGAAACAGAATGTTCGTTACCGTGTTCACAAAACACTGCCACTGATCTCCTATGATTCAGTCGAGACCAGTCCAAACTATTGCCCCGTAGTTCTTTAAAATTATTTTAATATGACTTATCAATTAATGCATAGTTTTATCAAAATGGCCAGCGTAGATTCGTCAGCCATTAAGATAATTTGGAAAAAATAGTACAGTAGAAGTGCGGAAACCGTTTGGGCTGTTACAGCTGCCCTTTCCGGTACTCAGTACTACGCCGCTTCGGAGTCATTCTTCCGACGCCGCAGTTTGATTCTGGTGAAACTGCTGCCCTCCACCAGTGCTAGATTTTTGTCCGCCCCGAGAATTTAATTTCCTCGGTACCACCCATATCTGGGAGGCTTTCCCCGATCTGCCACCTGGGGAGGCGCCCGATGGAGGATCTAGCAAACCCCACACGGGAATTTAGAATTACTGAATAAAATTTTGTATGCATTGTTCATCTCCCCATACGTACAAGTTTTTCTTGATTCGATTTTCTTAATATTGTTTTTCAAAAAAAAACATATTTATAAAACTACTTCTTGCCTAATTTTATCTGTTCCTACCTCTTCTTTAAGTACAATTTTTCTCCTTAGCGCCCTATTCTCAAGTGTTTGCAATCTGTGTTCGTCCCTTAGGATTGGAGAACAAAGCCTGGCTTAATTCCCTCTGTTAACGAACTGAATTCCGTTCTTAATGCTAACTCATTATAAATCATATCTGTGGAAGGAATTTTGCCCGAACAGCTTGAAAGTGCTGTCTATAATCGGGGATAAACCCCCAATGACGTTTGAATGCGTCACAGATGTAAATCATAATGGGAAAAGATGTCAGAGATGTTGATGTATTCCATGGAATTTTTTTCCATGTAGCGCGTAACTCCTTAAACGTGTTTCAAGAACTCGGCCCGCCTGTACCCACACTCTCGTTACTCTGTGCGTTGCTGCCAACTTCTGCTCGGTTGACGTAAGAAACGTGTTATTGTACCTGGACATTTCATTTGGCTAACCTGCAAATCGTGGAAAGTTAACTGCTGAACGGTGTCGTAACTGTACTACACCTGTTTCACACAAGATTTGTTAGACAAGGGCGAAAAGCGTTCTTGTTAACCGCGTTAGCCCGGATAACATTTAAAAAAAACGAAATGTAAAATCTTATTACTTACTTCATTGGTTCAGCGGTACTCCTTACACTGGAACACATCAGAACTGGCCTGATGAAATACATCATTAGCCAGCTTCATCCAGTAAAGCGTTATGTTCGCGGAGAGGGTAAGCCTCGGCTAGCTGGCTAACAACTCCTGACTGTCTGGAGTTGATTATGTAGCGTATACATTTGAAAAAGCGTCGTTAAATAAACCAATACTCAATGACCCTGGCGTGTGATACATAATCAGCACTATGGAATATCTTGGGCCGAAAATAGCCTAGTTGTTATCTTTGGTAAATGGGTGCCCCTTACTTACTTTTAGATTTAGCATTGGCAAGGATAAATGACACAGTTACCTCCTAAAATGTAAAACTTTAGAATTAACTGTAGGATTAATTGCTAGGGAAGAATTAACTCTAGAATTAACTGTAGAATTAACTCTAGAATTAAGGTATGGAAAGTTCACCGAACTTGAATGTTTCTATTTGAAACATTTTTTATTGTGTTTTAAACTGAAATTCCCAAATAATAAGCTGACTGTATTGGAAACAAAAAATATGCATATATTTTCTTCTACTTGTGCAGAGAGCAACGATTCAGCACACAGAGGTGTTTCGTTGTAGGTTTGTTTTGGAACAGTGCCTACTACATATACTACATATTTTAATTAGTCATTTTGCTTAAATGTTATTAAAGAATATATTAAGTAAAGTCCCATTTTCCTTCGCTTGGTTACATACATTTTAGAATAAGTGATTCGTGACAGATTATATTACATTTACATCGTTTTATATTTGAAATGATCTGATAATCTACTTATATATTGTTAAATGTTGTATAAAATAACTAAGAATACCTCTAACCCGAGATTTTAAGCGGTCTACAGCACTATGAAGAAGCCATTTCTCCTTAAATGCAAGAAAATTTCTTCTTATCGTGGCAATGGATTCTGAGTCGTGAATATCTTGGCTCTGGTATCAACAGTCTTGCCAAAGAGGGAAGCTGATACGTGGCCGATTCTGGCATGACTACAAGCAACTTAGCAAACAAAAGAAACTCTCCTTTGCGTTTTATTTTTGGACACTTTAGTTTGGTTCAGTGTGGATCCAGCTGTACTGCCCGTTATAGCCAGGGTCGTCGTTGGATCTTACTTGCCGGACTCCTCGCTCGCCGTTAGGTGACAGACTTCTATGCGAGTTGGAGTAACCTTTGGCAAACATTCCTCATGTTGTAAACGACATTGAGTCTTAATTTAAACATGAAAGGTAGATGGACTGTGAAATGAGGAGGTTATTAACATTTCAATATTCGGGAATATGTGTTTTGAGAGAAGTAAATTGTTTTGCAAGCATATACAGTGTGTGTGGTATGTAAAAGATTTAATGCGGTTAAAAGTAATAAACTCCATGAATCTGAGACCTTTTAGAGAAGTCGATAGTGGCTCTGCTGATCGAAATTCCACGTCTTTTATGGAACCAAAAGATTCATTGTCGTGTTTACAAAAGCCGAGCATTGATTCACTTAGGGTAAGAGTAGAAGTTCTATATCCATATAAAATAACAGATGTGAAACATTCTGCCTGGAAAAGTAGCAAGTGTTAAAATTTAATCTGTGTATTCATGGCATGCATTTAGGTTTGCTACTGTCATTCACAAATCTTTGAAGCATTCGCGGCAACTAAATTCAATTGTCTTCTCTGGCGGTCAGCAATGCAATTAATTTCTAACCTTTCGGAGTTTTTCTCTGCTTCCAAGTTCAGAAACTGATCTTCCAAGAGCAGTTACAGATGAGTACCTATAAGTAACTTAGTACTCCCAGATTTTCAATTAAAATACGAACGGGCAGTAGAGAAACGAATAATTTTATAAATTTTGGAAATATTAAAATTATAAATAACATTTAAAAGTTACGGTATTATTCATAAAATGAAGACAAATAATAAAAGTCGCTAACAGAGAAAGAGAAGCGACAAACTTTTATAGTGGTAAAAAGTCTAAACTTAATTGCCAAATTTAAAGTAACATTTTAAGATTTGACTGTTGAGCGTGTGAAAAATTTAAAATAAACATATCATTTAATAGCTAGGTATATAATATGCTAATATGTGTGGAGAAAAGATGAATAAATTGTGTGTCATATTTTATGAATGCAGTTGATTCACACATTCATACATACTGTGAAGTTTGCTGGCAGTCCTTGAAGTCCCCGCCATCATTCAGAACTTTAACGTAATTTGTCTGTGACACATTAGCATTTGGAAATGAATTGGTGGCAATGGAAAACGAATGGAGACCGTGGGTATGCTGAAGTTCCCACGGCGGTGAACGTGTCTTCTGGGCCGTGTGGACTTGTAAGCAGATACCAACGTTTTGCATAAACATACTATCTCCATCTTCAGGGCTGAAGTGGTCACAGTGGAGGCAGTACGTTTGTCCGAAACGTTGGTAGACCTGCCTACCTACGAGTCTAGAAGGCGTCACAACCTTGAAGAACGTTGGACACATACAGACCATGACCTGAGCGAGATTATAACCTAAGATAATTCGAGACCATTATCAGTGCGCTGTGATTGAGATGGTATTTGAAACTGGAAATAGAATTTCATTGTGATGCCACGCCGATTACACAGTGCACATATGGCAAATTTGATCTGAATTAAAGGGTTATGACGAAGTTGAGGAAATGGAATCCTTGTACAACTTGGTCTCCCACTGTACATAAAGGCACAAATGCATTTAAAATTATTTTAGCATAAAGTTTTAGGCAATAAAGAGATTAATATTTTATACTACGTAGATTCAGTGTTAAAATTCTAAAGTATACTGGTATATGTACCACCTGCCTTGACAATTAGTAATTCTGCTTTTTTTTCATACTTTTCTCAGTGTAAACGGATTATTTCCATAAACAGAATTAACCAGCTGATCTTTGTAAAGAGGCTCGCTGTGTTTTATTTGCGGTAGGAACCGTAGCTTTCAATTTACCAGAACTAGAGGACATTGCCTGGGAACCTTCACGGCCTACAATTACTCTCCCTCCCTCTCTCTCTCCTCCCCCCTCCTCCGTTAAATGTTTTGCTTCTCACTATTCCTTTTTCTTCACTTTTTCGACTTCAGGAGGTTAAATAAGTTTATTGTCACTTAGGCACATGACGCGTTCTCAGCTTGTGAGTGAAGGAGACAAATATGAAGTATAATTTCTGAATGAGCAGTCGGGATAACCCGACAAGGAATTATCCTTCAGATTGGATGTTTTTTGTAGCGGTCAACAACTCCTCGCTATAAAATGACCAGCGTGTTATAAAATACAGCTTCTTGGAATTTTTCCAGTGGTGGGCTGTCGTTAGCACGGTAATGTTACTTATGGTTCTATAAAAGGCGAGGAACTTGTTGATTAGCTGAGAGACTATTAGTTTATGAAGAAGGACATTGCTGAATGGAGTTATATTGTTACAAGTACACTGGGTAAATTGCATCTGTATCATATGTCCCGAAAATCCGTTATCCTTTCTAAGTTCAGCGATTATCTTCCAGCTGTTTTCAGAATCCAAAGAAAGACAGATTAACTTCACTGTTAACTGATGTAATGGCCTTTACTTGATCGTCAGAGTAGTAACAATGTTCTCTTGGTGTCTTTGTCACGAGGTACAACGGGCGCCGAAGTCACCTGAAACTAAAAATATCTTTGGAGTTTTAGGATCTTGTAGTTCTCATCCCCTTTAATAAATGTTTGCGAAACTTTTGTATACTCGTTCAGTGTGCTTCCCATTAAATATTTTATTAAAGACACTCCTTTCTACGAAACTTTACACAGTCACAAATAATTCCCTGTATGAGAAACCAACGTACAAGCTTAGCTGTGTAGGGGGTATATTCAGATTATAAAAACGTTATGTAAAATATCTCAAATTATATCCGGTTAATCAGCTTATGTACACGGCGAGAAGTAACTCTTCGTGGCTGGCAGAGAATCGATATATCCCGGTCAAAACACACAATAATCACGAAAAAGACATATGTATAAAAACAAATTTGCATAAGTCATAAATTAGATGTTTGGGGGGGGATAGTATGACGCGCGCAATTTAGCTAGTTACTATTAGTCTACTGCACCCAGTGTTAGCTTTTCTTTGAGAAAGGAATAAAGCTGTCAACATATAATATCAAAGAACACTCAGAAAGAAAACATTTGCACAGAACTACAGAAGACATTTTGAATGAAAATAAATAACTTATTAGCTGCAGCATCTCAAACCCCTGTGCAGTTATAAGGTCGAAACTGAATTTAACTTTTTCGGATCGATTACTTTCAAAGCTTATAAACCGATGTTTTCTTCTGCAAAATTATTCAGTTTCAGTTACCTTTAAATTTATGGCACAGAGATATGAAATTTCGATGCTGCTGACCTGAAAATTTGATGAACTTAATATTTTTCTCAGTTCTTTCTTGTAAGGTAGGACAAGTTTGGTATTATAGCTCCATGTATCAAACTCCGAAATTAATTAAGCATCTCTCAGTTTTAACTTTTTACAAACGTGAATAATTCTACCTCCGAAGGATAGAAAATAATTCTATCGTTGAAGTAAGAATTTGCTTAAAAATACGATACATTTTTCTCCTGAATAGAGAAGCTTGTTTGAACAAAAATATCTAAATTATGCGACGTTTTATGATATACTGATGCAAGGGGCTATAATATCACACTGTTCTACTTTAATTAATTAAGATAAGTTAATGTCACTTCTTAATGTCCCTTCATTCCCTGCAATAAGATGCAGTTAAAACGTGACTGTCTTTTTCTCAGCTCTGACAGTAGCTTTCTTGACAACTCTGCTGCTAGACAAAGACGATTCGGTAGCGTTTGCCTCGTTTTCCTTCACCAGGGCTCTCAGCTGTTCTGCTCTCTTCTCGCGGGCCGCGGATCGACCTGCTAGTTCCTCAATTTCGGTGTCCAAATCTTGAAGGCGTGATCTTGTCTTGCGTGCTCTAGCCGCGGCTGCTCCAAACTCCTCCGGCTCCACGCCGTCCAGCTGACTGCGACGGTTCAGAGACGACCACTTGGTCAGCGAGGGTGCCCCTTCGTCATCCTCAGACGTCACCCTCAGTGTACGTTTTTTGAATATGGCATCATCCTGTATTGCCAAACGAGCTTTGTCGATATCAGAATTCTTTACTCCCACACTATCAAGCAGTTTCTCTTGGAAGTCTATAATAGGACGTCTCTTGCTACCTCTTGGTGTCACTTCCGATTCGAACTCGTCCTCGAGGGTTTTTCTGGCTGCTCTGGTTTCTCGTACGCGTTTCAAATATGACGAGATCTCTTCGTCTGCTTCGTCTTCTAACGTCCTCAGATTTCTGTTCGGTGACCGTTCTGAACGAATGGCTCTGCTACGGTTTTCAAAAATAGAATCGAATTCGTCCATGAGAGCAGTGTTCACTTGCCTGCGTGGTTCATCTGTATCAAAATCTTCGTCAGGTCTGGATATTTGTCTTCGGAAAGTCGGAACCTCGATTTCATCTGCCGCTAATGTTGATCTCAAAGCTGGAGAGGAGAATCTACCAGCAGTCCTCCGGTCTAGAGAATCCACCACGGGTTTGTAGTACCTCTCTCCAGCCGTGTAATTACAGTCATATACTTTCGTGCGCCGGGGTCGACCAAGCACTGACCTCCCAGACATGACGACTGTACCTCTGAAACACACGAAAACTCCCAATAAACATTTTCGAGAAGATTAATGCACAAGAGGACTGTGTACTTAAAGGTCTAAAACGTAAAATTCATGTAATAAAAATGTAGTGTTGCTATATAGTTTTGTCAGAATCTGTCAAACGTGTTGAAAATTTCATTTAGGGCCTTAATAAAGTGTAACTTACAATTAATTAATTTAAATTAAATTGACAGCGTTTACATATGCATGACAGTATTTATATTTTAGGTGTTATCATGTCAAGAAGTTCAGATGATAAACGTAATTGTTATTTGATGCTCTTAAAATTAGATATAGTAATATAAACTAAACCACAAGGTGCATACAAGTATGCGACTGTAATCTTGAGACTTTCACGGAATGCAGGAAGTCCGAATCGATAAAGGCAGACGCTATCTTTCCTCCTTCACCCCACTTCCGCACCCCGCAAGTCTCAAGATTACAGTCGCTGACTATACAACACAGAACAGGTTTTAGAATATCACACAATTAAAGCAAAACGGGTTTTACATGAACAGATTGAAAAGTTTATAGACTTATGTAAAAAAAGCTGTTGTCAATGGTAAAAGCGGTTATTTGTTAATCTGGATTACACAATCAACGCAAGCTAACCTTCTGGAGACATGCTATGTTATGTTGGGCCTTGTTATTTGAAGTCAGATAATTTTTATACGGAGTTTATACACAACATGTTTTCTCAGGAAACACTGTAGACCAATTATAAACGGTACATTGGTGATAAAATACACTTTTAGTATTAGGAGTTATCTATTTGTAATTTACGCGATATTGTGTTCTGAAGACAGATCTGAGACCATGAATTTTTCCTTCCCAGATCTGTTAATCAACAATTTCCATCTCTTATTTTATAAATATAAACATAAGAGACGGTGAAATGTGGTAAAGGTAAAGTTAACTCCATGTCTAAGCACCACACTATGGTGGCATATTAACCTCGGCGCTAAATAGGGGCGAATAGTCAACTCCAGGTTAGTTTACTCTTCTGTCGCTTTACCTCAAGCAGGAAAACCCCTTAGTGCATACTGCAAGCCTTGGAACGTCCCAAATCTGGTATTTGCTGGGCCATGCTCTCGGACAGAAAAATTATTTGAAGCCATTACCCAGTCATTTACTGACTGAGGACTAACTAACTAACTAGATGGCTTACCGAACCCGGAGGTTCATCACCGAATTAACCAAAGCCCTCCACCGGACCCTGTCCTGAGCCAACACAATCCAGTCTCCTTCAACTCCTATCTCCCATAGATCCCGCCTGAGATTATCCTCCCATCTACGTCTAGGTCTCCCCAGCGGTCTCTCCCCCTCAGGTTTTCCAACCAGTACCCGGTGCACACCTCTTGCCCCATCTATGCGCGCTACATGCCCTGCCCATCTCATTCTTCACGACTTAATCACCCTGACAACACTGACTGAAGACTACGACATGGAAATAAATAATATTCTCAACGTTAAATATTTTTACAATATATTGAACATAATTACATCGTAAATATATTAAATAAAAATCAAATTAAATATTATAGTAGATACGTAGACGATATACTTATTATTTTTGATACAAAAAAGACAAATATAAAACACGTACTAAACGAATTCAATAATATAAACCAAAATATACAATTTACTTTAGAAACAGAACAAAACAACAAAATAAATTACTTAGATTTAACCATAATAAGAAACGTTGACAATTTTGAATTTAAAATATACAGGAAACCCACTAACACAAGTACAATAATTCACGCATCATCATGCCACCCCAATGAACACAAAATAATGGCCATTAATTATTTAATAAACAGAAAAAATACATATCCCATAACCACAAAAAACAAACAAATTGAATGTAATATAATAAAACAAATTTTAATAGAAAACGAATATAACAATTACGAACTAAAACCCAAAAACAAAATAAAAAATGAAAACGAAAATAGCAGTGAAAACGAAAATATCCAAAATAAATGGGCCACCTTCACATACGTAGGTAAAGAAACTAAATATATATCAAAAATATTTAAAAATAATAATATAAAAGTCGCATATAGAACTAACAACACAATAAAAAACATTTTAAAACAAAAACAACAATTAAATACAAAAAACCAATACGAACAACCTGGTATATATTGATTGAAATGCAAAGATTGCCCATTAACCTATATCGGCCAAACAGGACGAACCTTTAATCAAAGATACAAAGAACATATAACAGCCATCAGACACAATAAAGACCACTCTGCATATGCTAAACATATATTAAACACCGGACACGCATATAACAAAATTGAAGAAACATTGGACATCATAAAGATTGTGCATAATAAACGTCATAGAGACACTATAGAAAAATACTATATACAGCGCGTACACAAACAGAACATCGCACTAAACGACAACAACCTACAATTAAACAACCCCATATTTAATGCATTACAAGATATCGACCCAACCCACTAAACAACTTTCACTATATATATACGACGTACATCAACGCACATACCCAGTCCTACATAGTCTTCACTCGACCACAGACGCAAACACACCACAAATCACAACTCTGGTATGGATCTTATATTGCTATATGTTATAAATATTTTCTATTTTCCAAACTCTTTTTCATATAAATAATTAATAATTCGAATGTCAATTAATTGTTTCACAGACTACCTGAAGATGATGCAGTTGCATTGAAACATGTTGTGAAATAAAATAATGAGCGCTAAAATTGTAACATCGTAATAGCGATGATAAGCGCCAAATTTTAAAGTTTAGCTTTAATAACACCAATTTTAACAACTAAGTTTGTGTATTGACGGAAATAAATAAATATATTACTGAATTAAGCACAAACATGACGCATTTAAACTACAAAGTTAAATTATCGTTTCTGTTATTTTTGATAAAAGCAATTTGTTAATTGAAAGTAATTTTATGGCTGAAACCAAAGTCTGTGACTCATGTTTTCGCATTTTTAGTGTTTATTATCATAAACTGGATCTTGTTTCTCGCTAGCCGTTCGACTTCAACCACGACTGAATATAGTACACTGCAGCTCCTGGCGTCTAATTTTAGCTGCGAGCCATGAGCTGTAGTTCAACCTGAATATCACCCGTGGGCATTTTGACAACGAGATTGATAACTTTATCCTCTAATTAGATTCTCATCAGAATAAGCTTCGATCTTATAGAACCGATTACACTCGGAATATCGAAAGTGAAACGAGAAAGACTGGCGATCTTCCATTAAAGTTACTACGCAGTGTTGTTGCTTGTGTATTTTTGCTAGTGATGACGAAATTCAAGATGCTATAGGCGTCAAGTCTTACATCCCTATATAAAGAAGGAGTTTCAGAGCCTATTCGCTCAGATTGAAGTGCATAGGGTGTGGTTACGTCTTGAAACAAAACTGTACGAACGTCGTTTTTCAAGAAACATTACTCGGGAAGTAATTTATTTGTGCAAGATTCTTAATTTTAATTTTAGTTCCTCTCGAAAATGTCGGAAACCGCCATCTAAAGATGAAGTATAAATTAAATGCACTACTGAATAGCCTAAATTACATCAAATTCTCTTTTGTGCAGACTTCAAAGTTTCACTTATTTTTTCATTGCTCGTTTATTTATAAGTTAACTCTTATTTATAAAATTATGTTGTATTTTGTTAAATACAACACGTGACTTCATGCATTTATGACGAAAACTCGCTTCCTCTCTATTTCAACGTACTGCGCATCACATTACCTCATGCGAAGAACCAAACCTGGCACAGCTCACATTCAAAGGCGGAAGTGAATAACAGACCAACGAAGGTGACCTAATGATACATGCGAATACATACGTACCAATGAACGATAATATCAGTTGATGTTCACTCACTCTTCACCCGATGAGAAACACGTGTGCACGATGCCGGCAGAATCAAGCCTCTAGAAGCTCATCATTTTGCACCCCGGCCGTCTAGCGTCTCGACGCCGTGGCCTCAATTCCCTTTCCCCCATCCGATGAGCCCCCTCAAAGTCTGCCCACACGAGCATAACATGGAACATGGCAGTGTTGCGTCTTTTCGCGGTCACGCATGGACACGCTGCAACCTTAGTCAGATTTGTGCTCACTGAGGAGGGTGAACGGAACGAACGGTATTTTTAAGCGCCTTTCATTCCTTCAGAAATCGCTTATTCTTCTTTTTTTTTTCACAGTCTTCAAGACTGTCTTCTGGGATATTGCGCCGTATCGCCCTGATAACGGAGGCGGAAAACACTTCTGTAACGTCGGTCAGTCTATACCAGATTACACTGCGCAATATCCCAGAAGACAGTCTTCTTCATATTTTCCGCCGTGAGAACCTGCAATCTCACAACGGGTGGTTGTTTTGTAGTTTATGTAACGACGCTGTCAATAGCATAGAGAGTATAACGTCGGAAGACAGTAATTAATGAATTATAAACTGAAAAGGAAGTGGAATAAAGCATCCGTGGCCTAATTTAAGGTACTATGCGGGCATTTGTCTGTAAGGACTGAGAAAAACCACGCAAGACTTCAGTCAGGATAGCCGGTCTCCGGGCAAGTATTTGAAACTCTAAACACAAGAATATGAAGCAAATATATTAACCTATCGCCTGGGACTTCTGGTGAAGGATTTTCCTGAAATAATAATTTGGGATTAAAGCCTGCGTCCTAAATTAAGATGCTGTTAGAATTTGCTAAAAGAAGCTCGCAACACTTACAGTTTTTAGCCATTCTCTCCAAAAGTGAGTTTTGCTTTGGGTGATTGACCCGCCAGTGTCCAACTTCGTATTTCAATTTTTATTCTTATTTTAGCAAAGACCGCAATTTTGCCGGAAGTATGACAAAAAGTAAGAGGAATGTTTTAGGATTATTGATCTCTTGGGGCTTAAAACCTAGTAGTATGAATGGTAGGCATTTTTATCGGTCACAAAGAACTTGCCCGAAGCCTGTACTCTTAATGTCGTACTGTCTGCAGCGAAAGATCTATATAAACTATCTTGATTTCGTAAGAATTCAAAGGACGTTAATGTTTATCCCAATACCCGACCAAGAATCGTATTTATAGAATTACGACGAATGATTGCCGAAATCAGTGCTCTAGCCAGTAGTCTATTTCACGTAATGTCTCTTTAGACGCTTCCCCCATGAAAAGGAGAGACTTTTGGGCAATAATACATCTCTGTAATTTGTGCTAGTGTTGAGGATTCTCAACGTACTTTCACTCATTCATGCCATATATCTTTTGGAGAAAGTTAACTCCCTTTAGGATATGATGAAAAACTCTGATTTTGATTAAATATAACATATATCTGCAGACCATTAAAACGATTGATGAAACGAATTTTGACTGAAATTAAAAACAGTTAGCATGAAGCTAAAATTTATTTTAGAAAATACCATAAAATTTAAACTGATAAAAACTATTCAGTTCTAGCACTGTATTCATCATTTTATCCAACGTATTATTTTCCATACAAAGATTTGTATGTAGTATGTGGTGGGAGGGTACACGTAGCGACTCCAGCATTCCCCCCCCCCCCCCACCGTCTTCACTCTCTGGGTCATGACATCGTTAAATCTGGGAATTAGTGCAGATAGAAAGTTCAGTTGCGCAAAAAAAAGAGGTATGAAACGCGCTAATACGACATACAACTTCACAGGAATACGATTTTATTTTCGAGATGAAGTGGAAAGTTCTGATTCATAGGCACCTAAAAACCACAAGTTATTCTGATGTCTTGGCTGCTGGGATATTTTAAGACCAAGTTTATCGCTTCTGTTCCCTGTGAGCAGTTGCATTCAAACTGCAGGCTGTGAGAGAGATATCGACCTTGAAATATCGTAGTCCGTTCTTGTCATTCCATTCGTGAATTCCCGTGTGTTGGGGCTAATAACAAGTTATTAATCAATGGCTGATTTTTGGGTTTGTTACTGCGGTTCAACCCAGAAGACAGCCATCTTGGAGGGGGTGGAGGGGAAGAGCAGAAGCGTTTGTCCCTTTCAGCTCGCTGATGAAGTGGTTAACATACATGCAGCAACTCGAAAATAGGGCTAATCGCCACCCAGGCTGTGAATATAGAAACGGCAGTAACAAATAAACAAACAAAAAATCCAGGAAGAAATTAAGAACAGGTTAAACCAAACAGTAGATTACATTTTGAAATGTTGTGTAGGAGCCATTTCTTTTGTTTTCCGTCTCCTTTCTATATAAATAAATACCGAATTATACAAAACTGTAATTTTATTTTTTGACACTAGGTCAAATGAACACAAATTGACGAAGTTTGACATTAGGGTGCTAAGCTAGAGAAATCTGCATAATGAGTACATTCATAATTTGTACTCACCTCCAAATATTATTTATGCTATCAAATCAACGGGGGCCTGAAGTAACTTAGGAATGGGAAAAATGAGAAACGCGAAAGAAGATTGTAGGTTCAAAACCTGGAAAGAAGAGGTGCCGAACCCTCCAACATATATGCAGATCTTTGTATGGTGACTGCATTTTCTGACTTGAACAGTTGTAGCTGTTTAAATCTTATGAGAATTTCTAAAACACATTTAAGTTTCCTACCAACTATTTTCAATTTGGGTTGAAGTTCGAAATTCATGTCATCATTAGTTTAGTGGGTTACTGATGAATACTAAATTTAATCATAATCAGAGTTTTAATTACATGCTTACATGCATTATTAGCAAGACGTGTTTAAAGCAGATCTGTATTTCGAACCAGTCCGCGGTTTGTTCTATGACGTCAGTGAGACTACAAGATGGCGAACCGCTGGTTTGTTCTGTGATGTCATTTCCGTGCATTATGTTGTATTCCGTGATCGTTTGTAAGATGGTGGATTTTGTGCGTGGTCGTCAACAATTTATATAATTATATAAAAATTCCACTTGCATTGGTATATTTTGTACAGATTCTGAAATGGGGTGAGTTTATGATACTAAAGAGCGTTATTATTTATAGCCTGTTAATTTGTAAGCCGTGAAGTCTTAGTTATAATTGTGTTTGTTCCAGCTATTCATCGGGCCTGTTTCCTCTGATTAACCAGTGTTAGAAGAAGGCATACCTCTAATAGTGCACAGTTAAGCAATATACATGTAGTTTTCAACATATCGGAGAGTTTCTTATATTAAGATCTTCAATTCCAAAGATGTATGTTTTTAGGCGGTCATAGTAGTACTCTTATATTTACTTGCATAATTTGCCATATTTAATTCTTTTCAACTTTTGAAACATGTAACAGTTACCCACCTCAAATCTTACTATGCAGCCATTTATATGTAATAGTATTGGCTTATCTTGGGATTATTCCCTCATCCACTTGGATATTTTCCTGTTAAAAACAGAAAATTGAAACGTTTATGTTAAGGAAGGAAGAACACAAACCCATATTTTAGTTACTGAACGGTTTGATATTAGAGAAAAAATTTCCATTGACGAAGCTACGTACAAACTTACATCAGAAACACTGAAGGCTTTAAGTAGAAAAATTCATGTTCCAGTAATATTATGACCTTGCGAAGGTTTCTGACTGCCAACGTTAGGATTGTGCTTGTAGAAGTATTGTATTATGGATAGGAAAATGTTTCAGATCATATCTTACAAACAGTAGGGATAAAATCTGACTCAGGATAACATTAATTCAGATTGGTATAATGTACAATATGGAGTTCCATGAGGCTTGATACTTTGTCTAACATTTCCTAGTGTATTTTCCATCCAACACAAATGCGATCTCAAAACCTGTTCTCTTTGATGATGGTACCAGTATAACAATCTATTATTATCAAAACTATATCTACACTCTCTTAAACAAATACTTCATAGCTAAAAAACTCATTTTAAATTCTGACAAAATAAATTTGTTTCCAAATGAACCCTTAACTAATATGAGCATATGTCTGTCCAGGAAGCTAAACTGCCAAATTCCATTGTCTCCAAATTGACAGTGAATTAATTTGAAAAAGTCACATATATCATGTAATACCAAAACTTTGTTCAATAATGAGATGTCTCTTTATTTTGTGGTATTGTGTTGTTTTTTCTTAGCATACATCTTAGCCATGTCATGTCTTTGGATAATTCAGCTAACAGTAACAAAAAAGTTTCTCTTTTACATAAGAAAATTAGTAGAATTGTTGCTAATGCTCATAGAAGTGTCATACAGACATTATTTAGAAGGTTCTGCATATTAACATGTGACTCTGAGTAGGTACTTGCTTTAATGACATTTAGGGTGGATAATTGTGTCTTTCCAATCACACTTTTGGTTCATAAAATCAATACTAGCACAGACATGATGTATATAGATTGTTAACTTTACACTGTACCAGTGGTATGCACTAATAAGGAATTATATTGTATAACAAGCTGCCAGTAAAAATTATGAGTCTTATCAGCTAACACAAAACAGTTTCAGTTAGTTTTAAAAGAATTCCTTTACATATTATACACTTTCATTCTGTTGTTGAATTTGTAAGTCATATATATTATGAGATTAATAATTATATACAGAGTGAACATATTGTGGATTAATTTTGAAACATTTATGATCTTAAAGCTTTCATGGCGACTAGGTATAATGAATTCCTCTTGGGCTACCAGCCATGTAAGATGGTTTAATGGAGAAATGTTGTCTCCATTAAACCACCTTACATGTTGATGTCAGAATTCAGTGCATCATATATTTTAAGTGTTCTTCATTTTCTGTGTTATTTTGTTATTGTTTTTTCTATATTATGTGTGACTGGACTTACATTAATAAGCATACTGGCTTGTTGCGTTGAAATGTACACTGATTTGTTCCACATCCTGATTAACTGAAATCTACGGAATGCATATTATCTAATCCAATCAAATCTATAAACTCTTTTAACCTCATAATTGCAAGTTATATAAGTATTTTCATACTGAAGTGATTAACTAAATGAATTATGCAAGAAATCATGAAGTTCCCATTTCAAGAATGTGAGTTTGTTACAACTCTGTCTCCCCATTTCTGAGGGATGCAGTAACTAACCCAAAAACTCGCACTTACCAGATTCGCCATCAAAAGATTCTAAAAGGAGAGTGAAAAATATTAACTGCTTAAATTGTTCAAGTGCAAAGAGGAAATAAAAATGAAAACAAGCAATGTACTTACTGTTTGTAAAATATTACTTTTTACAGCTGTAGTAAAATATGTAGAATACAGTTCCTACTAGAACGTGTGGGCTGGTATAATTAAAGATGTGTGATCTCCTCCAGTTTTAAGGAGAAAAATATAATATATATTTATTAATTTCCTTGTGATTACTGGTAGGTTCTGAGGTAAGCAAACACATTGTATGAGATCTGAGTTTCTCACATCCCCAGGCTGGACAGAGCAGTGACCATAAATGGGAGAACCGGGTATGTTTATCCAAAGCATTGGTGTCTACTTGTATATACAGGTTTATATGGTGTTACTAAGGCCAATGTTGACATAAGCAACACAATTTTGTTTAACTTGTGATAAGAAAAATATGAATTGGGGTGTGCAATTTTCTTCATATGAAAAGACCAGAATTTCTTTGGGAACATGTTTCCAGTGCTTTGATGCTTGATGAGCTTGAGCATATTACACACACACAATATATTCTTCTTCTTTTATGGCGCGGCAGCCGGAAGTCGAGCCTTTGCCTCCTCCCATTTGGAAGGTTTCTTTGTCTTTGAAGTGTGCATTTATAAGTAGTGAGTGACAAGCCCACTGCCTCTGCACAATTTCTACTCAATCCTGATTTATCTCTTGGAGCCATCTAGTAGAGAATCAGGAGAGACTTGGCTGAGAAATGGCTGCTGAATTTTCCTTACGAAACATCTCGTTCATGCTCGCGAGGTTCTTTTATATGCCGTAAATCTACGACATGGCACTGCCGTCTTTACTTCCCCTCTAAAGGAAGTTGTGCTATGGATTTTTATAATCCTTAAAAATCCATCGACCTTGGCCGGGTTTGATCCCGCGAACCTTGAGTCCAGTGGCAAGCACGCTAACCACTAGTCCACCAAAGGCAACATATATACAATATATATAACACATGAAACAAAATTTTGGTTACTTGCAGGGCATAGACGAGTGCAAGTTCATTTAATGAGCACTTAAAGAATATATGTTGAAGTTGGTGTTACAGCTTTAGAGCATGTAAAATTGGGGAATAGTGACAGTACATACATGTTTATGTTTTATGAATGTGAACAGGCTGTTACATAAGACATGAAATACCATAAACATGTTTTAAAGTGTCCAGTTTTTAGACACTGATTCAAGAATTCTTTGGTTTAAACTGATGATGGAAAAATCCAAAACTGTCATCACTATTTTACAAAATTGACATAATCTTGATTTGGATTGGTAACTGGCATTAGATGAAGAGATCATAGTTTAGTTTTTTAATGATAAAATTTATTTTTCTGGGATAAATATCAGATATGCTGTTTTTATTTATGCATTATATTGTTTGAATAAAAGAAGTTTTCATTGTTGAGTTTGTTCAAGTCTGAAAGTTTCTGACAGCGGTGCATCATGATATGTAAAACTGTTTGTTATTTTGGACTTCTTCAACGTATCAAAAGCAGTATTTTGCTGCTGTCTTCAGGTGGAAAAAGGGGGAAGAGGTCAGAATGCCTAACTGTTAGACCCCTAGTTGGGTTATCCCCAGACCTTAGGTCTAAAAAATTGAAGTTTTATTATTTTATAATTTACACAGTGGAAGAAGTCTAAAACAACATTTTTACATATTGTTAAGGTTGTTCTGACGTCCACTATATTTTATTGTTTTGTGTAACTGCCTACTGTTTGTAGAGGCAGTGAACTGTGCCAGAAATTGCATGGAATGTAAGCCAGTCACTCACAATTACATATTTGTTGCAGTAATCTTAATACTTGAAAATAAAAACAGACAAATTGTTTGGAATATTTTGTATTTAGACAATCTTTGGATCCTGGCAGTAAGACGGTTATGTGTATGTGTTATCTTTTGACTTATAAACATTTCTCGTTTTTAGCTCTCCAGACTGTGATTCTGAAGATTCTACCGAGATGATGAAGGACAAGAGAAAGGATCTGAATGCAGATATTTCCAAAAAGAAGAGGAAAAAGAAGCACAAACATCATCACCATAAACATAAAAAACATTGTTTATCCGATAAACATGAAAGGTGTGTTTTATTATGCTGTTGATTGTAAGACACATCTTTGAGTTAGTAATAGATTCAAAATAAGTACATATATTACAGTAGGAATTGTCAATATTCAAATGTAAAACTTCTTTGTATTAAAATTTATGAAATTAACATTGTTGCAATTTTTATGTTCTGTGAATAATGTTACGGACACAAAATTTTTTTTTATCCTTTATTAATACAATATGATTTATCAACTTTGGTTCTTAGATGCCATCATATGTAAGATGCACCCCAATTTCATAAATTTTAGAATGTGAAATATGCATTGTAAAATCGGAGAAATACGGTAAATTTCAGTGTCTTTTAACATCTGTTCTGAAACCAGTTTTTACAGGAGATGCAAAATTTTTATAACTGTATCATGTTATTACCTACAAAGATATCTATAGGCTGTAGAAGTGAGGTTTCAGTATTCTTAGAATTTGCCATACGGGTTGAGGTGAGTGTTGGTTTCACTAGCCTGCTGTTAGTCGTCCTGATGTTCATTGGGCATGATGTTTTATGGTTGTCTTTGATTTGGCAGTAAAATAATTTATTTCCCTTTACCAGGCATAGTTTTTCCTGGTTTGTCTAATACTTCAGGTCCATTTGCACCACAGATACCTCTTTCACACATGCGATGAACACGTGTACTCTCCATACATGCAAATGTGTGTGTGTGTATATGGGATGAACAAATAAGTTTGTTTCTATCATTCTGTAACCAAAGGATTCTGCTTGCCGCTAATTAGATCCTTGCTAGAACAGTCTTATTCTCATTACTGCCGTTTGTTGTGGATAATATGGAGAAGTTTAAAATAAATTCTGGCATATATAATATAAAAACAAGGTATAAACATGACCATCATCCTAGCACCAACCTCGCTAATTATCAGAAAGATGTTTACTTTGCAGGGATGAAGTTTTTTGATACTATTACATCTAATGTTAAACATTTTAAGTCATTATATAAAAGCATTAAAACTATATTTTATCTTACTTATTCTACTTATTTTCTTCAGTTGAAATTTATTAAATACTCTGAATATTTGTGTGAATAGCTGCAACAACTGTGGGTTTAAAGAGAAAGTAAATCTGACCCGCTACACACTGTGTAAGTGCTTGGGGGAGAGGAGGTATAGCTCCTACTCTTTCTTAACCTCAGCACCAGTTAGGGGTGAGTGGTCAGCTTCATGCCCCGGCCACGCTTAACACCCAGGAAGACCTCGGTACCCATTGGACAGGAGGCTGTGTGGGCCCCAGAGCTGATCTGGACGCAGAGGCTAGAGGGAAAATCTAATGTACCTGTTGGGGATGGAACCCTGGTTGTCCAATCCAAAGTCAGCTACTATATAGATTAATTATTGTTTGTACTAAGTACTGTATTTGTTCTACATGTTTGGCTTGTACTGTGAAAGATCTTTGGAATGTAAATAAATTCTATTCTGTTCTTCGTAGTGCCCTACTTTTACTGGTTATTAACATCATACATGGATTTTATGTGGAAACATACTTTGGGAAGTGGGAAATAACATTTTTGTTGTAATAAAATCTTTAGTTTAATTTATACTTTTATGAACAAAGTTGAAGTGTGGCAATTATTATTATATGTTGTGCAATTTTGTAATGCATTCGTGTGTATATATTAATTGTATTATTTTTGCAGGAAACACCATAAAAAACGAAAACACAGAAAAGGGAGTGAAAATGGTGATGTGTCCCATGTGGATGTTAACAAAAGACCTGATAAACCAAAGGATAATATTTCAATAAAGATTTCAGCTGGGAGCTCGAAAAGAGAAGTGAAAGAGGAGGTTAAAGTAAGAAATACTGAAAAACACGTAGGTAATTGTAAGGATGTTGTTTTAAATGGAAAAGGAGTGCAGAAAATAGAACCTGAACAGAAGAAAAATGAACCAGCAGATAATTCAAAATTCCCAGTTGATGAATCATCTGAATCTGAAGATGATGTCAAAGCAAAGGAAAGTGATTCAGATATTGAAGTAGCTGTGATTGAGGATGACATTGATTTGGAAGATCTTATGCGCCAGAAGGTAAGAAACGTAAGGGATACTATTATTTGGTGCTTATACTGTGAATGGTCTTGTATATTAACTACTTGTCTTCCAAGTATGGTACTAAAACAAAGCATGTTATATCAGTTAAATTTTTGTGATTTTGAACATAAATAATGTACGTTAGCTACCATGTTTTAAATTGCAAACTACAAGCATGTAATATTTGTTTATTTTAATAGGCACTTCTCCAGGCCAGACTAGGTGCATATATGTCAGAAGCTGATGATGATGATGACAGTGATAATTGTAATGCTGGTAAACAAGCTACCAAGCCTGTTCCTGAAGTCATTAATTTGGTGGATGATGATTCAGAAGTGGCTCAAGAAACTCCTAGGAGAAGGCATGAAAAGAGAAAAAGAAAACATAGTCGGTAAGAGCTGTAAGTTTCTTGAAGTTAAGTATTTTAGTTTAGTTGGAGGATTCATGGGAGGCACATGATTTCAGTATGAAGTTACATGCACATTGGTGTTGGTCGTTTCTTGCAGTAATTTACCACTTGTGTCCTGATTTAAATGAAATGCTGTATTGCCTGGAAACCATTTTTATAATAACAAATTTGACTGTGTGGAGGAAGGTCAAGAATTGTTACCTTTTACATAGCTCATGAGTAGTAAAACTAATTATGTAAATTAATAACATATGATTAGCGCTGATATTGTGATTGTGCATTGCTGATCATATTGATAAGTAAGTGTTGTAGTCTTACCTGGTGTCCTATGTGAGCGATTAAATGCGAGCGGTGCGAGTTGCTCGGGTGAAGCGGAAATATCAAACTGGCTGTTTGTGTGGCGCTGTCCTAGGTTCCAGCGAAGCGGTCATGTGAAGAAAGTGGCTAAAGTCCAAGATCAAATATTTTTATATTTTCTTGCGAGTCGCTGGGCCGGCCAGTAAGGCGCATGCACAAGAAAGCTCCAACTGTGCAGTACATGGAAGGTGCATGTGCAGGAAGACCATGTGCTTCTATTGCGGTCGCTCATGTAGGAAACAACAAGCGATTCCCCGCTTCTTATGACACCCCATGCTGCTTATGCAGCTCGCTTGTTATCGCTTATGTAGGACATTGCCTTAATGTTCTGGAGAGACAGCATCAGCTGGCAGTTTTTAAGTTTGCTTTTAAAACTAGATTTGTTGTGAATCTTCTCACCATTGTCATATTGAAAACACAGTAAATGTCCAGTGGTATAATATACAAAGTACAAGAAAACTTGTTGATTTGGTAACATTGTTTGAAATACTGTGAATATCAGAGTTATAATTCCCTAATGAACATCACAGGTTTTGTGTGATTTTAATATGGGTAATTTAGTGTACGTTTGCATAAAATTTGAAGTCTTAATATAGTTTGGTGACTCGTGAGTAGAGAATTCAGTTTGTATCTACATTCCATAAATAGCTGCTATAGGTATTACTGGGTTTGTGGGAGCTTAGATGTTGTATATGATTGTTTAATTTGTACTACAATGCAAACAAGTCAGGCTGTGAAGGGGTGGACAATATGGACACTTGCATTTCTTTCATTTTGGCTTATTTAAAAATAGCTCTTGTCTTTTTACAAATTTCTTACTATTCAGTAGTGAACATTGCACTTGTAAGGATGAGTTCACAGGTACAAATAGTGTTAAAAGGAAAGTGCAGTTAGCTAATAATTGCTGAAAAACTTTGTGACAGACATGGTAGTTAATATGTGAAAGCTAAAATAGTTGTGTAAGGAATACTGTAAAATACTTGACATACTGAAATATTGAAGTCTCCCATGAATTGCTCAACGTATATGTTACAGATATTGATTACAGTTTTTATAATGTATTTTAGGAGTAGAAGTAGAGAACAGGGGCAGGTGAGGATTGAACCAGACACCAATGATGAAAGAAGGAAAGGCACTAAAGATGAACGGGACAAGGATAAAGATCGAGACAGGAAACGAGGAACAACAGAACTGTCACGAGATTTAAGGAAACCAAGGGAAAGTGACAGAGATCGGGAACATGTACACCATAACCGAGAAGAGAAATCAGGATATCACCGATCACAGAATGATCGAAGTGGTCGGCGTGAATTGCCTGGTGAGCTGAAAAGGAAGGAAGATATCCAGCGGAAGTATGGAGAAAGTAGGGATTCTCAGAGAAAAATACCTAGCCGAAGCAGGACACCTCTTGGTAAGAAGTGGATGTATTGTGTATTGCATTGGAGAAAGTTCAGTATATCCGTAGCATTTTTTGCATGCGTGCATTATATATTATATTTATCAAAACTAATGTAAAATTAATCAGAATCTGTTACATACAGATTGTTGAAAAATGTTGTGTGTGTGTGTGTGTGTGGCACCACTATTACTTCAAGAAATAATATTTTATGGAGTATTGCCCTTTGAAAACCACACCTTGGAGAAAACAGACTGTAATTTTTGAAAACGTATTTTCTTTAGTTCGTGTGCTAAACTTTATTTTTCTTTTAGTGACTACTGTATCACGTTCATATAGCCGAAGTCGTGATGCAGACAACCAACGAAATGAGAGTAGGTCCAGAGATACTGAAAGGGAGAGAGAGAGGGATAGG